TATTGTTGGCTAGGCCAGGCATACCTTGCATAAAGGGAGGCAGCATTGCAGGTGGCACAACACCGCCCGTGCCGCTAGTGCTGAAAATAAATAAATCGATATATTATTGTTTTATTTACTGTACGTATATAGATAGTTTAAATGTGTAAGAACACTTAACTCACGGGAAATATCTGTGCTTGTCACTTTTACATTGAATAACACGCGAACTTGGCTATAACAATATGGCTAGATATACATATACACCGATATACTCTACATCTGTGAGCTTGCATGGATATATAAAAACAAATAAAGATCCCGCTTTGAATTGGTTGCAAAATCAATAATCTGCAAACGTGGCGCAGTGCCTGAAACTGTTGACACGTGATATATGTGCGAATATTTAGGGAATTACAAATTATTTATAGCAGGCGCCAAAGAAGCAACGTCGATACATATTACCCTGCCCCAGACACCTCAGTGACGAAGACAAAAGACTTAAAGTTTGTTAGCATAAATATTTTAAAAAACAATAATGCAAAAAGACTTCCGTATGAAGATTTATATATTAGTATTACTCAAAGTGTATCCTAGTTGTCACAGATTCAATCTGTTTTAAAAGCTAGCTTTTTCGCAGAAGAACTGTGAAAATAAATCTCAGACATTTACTACCTGACTATGTTAAAACTCTATCATATATCAGAGCCCATATTATTTCCATTTATGCACGGTTTTTGGAAACTCACCGTTGCATCGTCTGTTGCATATACACTGCATACCACTGCTGGATCCAGGCATTGTACAGAAGCACCTGCTGCCGCTGGAAAGCCATTTGTGAAGTTGCGGATGTCGATGCTGATGCCGATGCGCCCTGAGCCGCAGCCATTTGATACGCCTGATTTTGCAACTGAAGCCAGGGATGAGAGTCAATCGTTTGCTGTAGGTTTGGCTGTTGGTAAGGAATCTGAGCAGCGGCAGCTGCGACGGCGGCGGCCATATGACGCTGTCTCAGCTCGTTGTCATTGACATTGGTATCCACGCGGCGCGGCGCGGCTGTGGGTGTGGTGTCCTTTGGAGGCATGGTCGCCTTATACGGTGCCTTGGCTATATTTTTGTTAGCGCACACCAAATGAAAGATATGATGCTGCTGATAGACATCCTTGTAGCTGCGTATAACCTCCGATAGCTTTTGGGCATCATCCAGCAGTTTGCCCGAATAGATGAGCTTCTGGTCGTTAATTTCCTGTAACGCAAAGTAGATACCAATTTTATTAGCTTCTAATACAATGGCAAAACAAATAAATAGCCAATGAATTTCTGATTTCGTGAATTTCAAATGCAGGGTTAAAAGTTATAAGTTCCAATACAAAAGAGACTTTACATCAAAGTTTTATTATTTGACAAAACAACAGGCTGAATCGAAATAGTGTTCAGTCCCTTTCTCTGTCCATCGGTTTGTTTGCAAGCTAATCTCTAAGCTCTATGTCTATGCATATATACCTATGATAACAAGTTCTAGTTCTAGTCCAAGCAATGACCCACAACAAAAAACGTATGCTATCCGCCTATGTTGACTACCTAACGTTAATCTTTAAACGACAGACTAAACTCCTATGGACCAGGAAGTTGAACTTTGCACGGCATTTTTAAGCAATTTAATGTCTTTTCTTACGAACCGTTTCAAACTCATTTAAGAAAACATTTGTACAAATCTACTAAACACATCGTTCACCCGTATCACATCATTTTCGCACAGCCAGCCAATAAATGATATTTATTCTGTGCACTACATTTTTAACATATGACATCAAACTAACAACATTTGAGACATATATACATATTGTACGTACAGTATATATGTATTAGCTTGCCAGGTGCCAAGATATTTCTGCTCATTAGATTAACTTTATCAAATATTCGCTGATGAAATAAATGCAATTTAGCTTTAACTAGCTTAATATAATAAAAATAAAATTCGTTAGACGTGTCCAATTGTTAGCTGCACTTAGAGTATGTATTAAATGACGTGTACTTCGGCAAGTCAACGCCAAATTAAGACGCAAAAGACAAACAATTGTCGCTCTTTGAGCGCAGAAGATACACAAATGGCAAATAACTAAAGATTGGCCAGCGCCCCGGTTGATAAGATAGGGCATGTTCGAGGCTGACGTCAATATGAGGAATATGCTTATATATGTATATGTGTATGTGTGCGTGAGTGCGTGTGCATGTGTGCCTGTGTATTTGTATGTTTGTGTGTTTGCGAGAACGTACCGGCTTGCCGGGATACACCAGGGACAGCTGCTTCTTGAGCCTCTGCACCGTCCAGCAGAGATCACTCTCGATGTTCATGTCGTCGTATTGCTGATTCGACGATTTAATCAAGAGCCTTATGCTGTTGGCTGCGACAGCGGCAGCGGCAGCGACCCCTTCGTTTGTTTTGTCGCGCGCAGCATCATAGCCAGCGGCCGTAGCTGCCGCTGGGGACGGCGACGGCGTTGTGGCTGCAGCGGTATCGTCCATAGTTTAACCCTCACCCTCCCGGGCACTTTCTGCGACGTTGCTAATTGCTTGGTACGAACACTCGATATAAAATGGAGCAACAATGCCAGCGACAAGCGACAAGTGTTTTTTGTGGGCTCGTGATTCGTCAGCGTCCGGCAGTTGGTAGGGGGTGGGCAGTGATATGCAGGGGTTTTTTATTTTCCTCTATACTTGTGTTTGTATTGTGTAGACTTCCACGGTCACTTTACGTCTCCCCTCTGGCACGATTTTCATTAACAATAAATTTAGCTAATCCCGAATATTGATTGAGTTCTACTAAAAACGTAGCTGTTGCTGTGTTTCGTTGTGCGGCTCCTTGCATTAAAATGAGAACTGTTGATTATGAAACGAATTTCCGAACAGAGCCGAGCTGAGCAAAATAAATAATCAAAGTTCCTTCGTCTACAGCAACACTTGTTTTAATACACAGCCAGGGTTGCTTTGGCAGCTGTGGCGTTGCCACTCTCGACGACATGACGTGTATTTACCAGATGTCAGTAACTATCTGTTGAATATTATTTTTTATATGGTACCATTATTATTTACTATTAAAAGCAAAATCAATTTATAAATAATTATAGCATAAACACTCTCAGGGCAAGCAATAACAAAAGGCAAATTTAGTACATTATTAAAGCCGAGTGATTGGCAACACTGTCATATATATCAAGTTATTTTAAAGAGACGCTAAATATAATTTGTATGCGTATTTCCCAAGCGCAGAAGCGTGTGCAGCTCGCCAATCGATTTTTTTTTAAAGTCTTGGGTATATATATTCATGGAGAACAAGTCATCTGTTTCAGCGCTTCAAGAATGTTGTGCTCAGGCCAAGACTGGCAATCCTGTGTACGAATATATTGACGGCGAAGATGGCGGTTATGTTTGCAAAGTCGTTTTGATAGACATCGAAGCCTATGGAAATGGTAGGAATATGTAGCAAACATTAAAACCAAAAAACAATATTAAAAACTGAATTTAATCTACGCAGGACGTTCCAAGCGTGATGCCAAGCATTTAGCTGCCGGCAATTTAATGCGCAAGATGCGAAGGCTGCCGGGCTTTACTAACTTGGATGCAGATGGCGACGGCGAAGGGCAGGACAACTTTAATTTAAACAGCGTGGCCGACGAGCTGACAAACATGAACCGCGACATGTTGAAGGAGCTGCGTGATTATTGCGTACGTCATGATATGCCGCTGCCTATCATTGAGATAGTGCAGCAGAGTGGCTCGCCAAATGCGCCCGAATTTGTGGCCTGCTGCTCCGTGGCCTCCATCAAGCGTTATGGCAAGTCTGACAAAAAGAAGGATGCACGCCAGCGCGCTGCTATTGAAATGCTGTGCATAATATCGAACGATTCGGACAAAGCTAGCCCAGAGACGCAGCTGGTGAGCACCAAGACGGGAAACACTAGCGAACTGGAGAGCACCCTTGAGGACGTAGAGGCCGAGCGTCGTCGCAAATTCAAAACATATCGCGAATTAACCGATGCCGGAGGCGAAGAAAATCAATCCGTCAAGCTATGCGATCGTCACAATTACTTCAAATCCTTCTATCCACAATTAAAGGAGGCCGCTTTTGAGGTTCTGAATTCCGCTGATCATGTTACGTCCAAGGCAAAGCTCTTGGCTGTGCTCGGCGCCCTTAAGCTAAATCCACGCATCACACCGCTGGAAGCAAAGTCAATGGAACCTGTGCTGCAAATTGAATTGAATTGTGATTACGATTGCGTGTTTATTGGTCCCGAGAGCAAGATCTATCATGACATGATCCAATACTTTCGTGTCATGTTGGTTTAGACTGAATGCGATCAGAAATGCCGGTGTTTCTGTATATATAACATATATTTCAACTAATACTTAAAACTAAATAAACGTGTTATTTACAATAAACACTTGAAATAATGCACATGATTATTATATATATATATGTATATATTAATATCTATACTTACAACAACATTGTATGCATAAACTTTGTACGTCGCTTAGACCTAGTAAACGTCGTATAATAAAAATACATACATATGTTTAAATATAAAAGCGAGAGTTCTGTTAAGGTCGTCATGTACAATCATTTGTTGATGTTCAATCATTTGGGCAAAGGAACGTAATCGCAATAATTATAATTATCCTTATACTTGTAAGCAATATAATCGTTTCCAATTTTACTTTATTTTGCAATCGTAATAATATAATTAAAATTTCATATTACGAGTATTTCCCTATTTGCAAAAAAGATTGAAAGCTAAAAATAATTTGCATTTTTTATTGTAATTCAAATAAGCAAAACAATATGTGAATAAAACTTGAATGGTTCTTGCGATCAGACGAGATTATATATGTGTCTGAAAAATTGAAGATACATGAAATAACAACGGATTCTCAGTTAAGCTTAGTCAATTGTTGAAGAGAATTGCCAATTCGTTCCTATTGCACCCAAATAATGTTGTATTTAAATAAACAAGCCCAAGTTTTATTTGTGGGCCTAGTGTAAATTTTTACTATTAATACTATAAGATTTTTTTTACAAAATAAATGTCAACAATAACAATTGCAGCAGCCGGTTTTAGCTTTGAATCTCTCACTATAAGGTTGGACCAATCCTCACCTAGTAGCTTATCTTCTTGCGCAACTTTAGGTGCTGCTGTTGCTCGCGCTCTGTGGTCAGGCGACTGGCTCCACGCTGAGGATGTTGCTGCTGCCAGGGCAACGATGGTGGTTGCGTTGGTGTTGGTATCCCAGAATTGGAGGCTGATGTGGAGGCTGATGAGCCCGATTCAGCAAAGATTCGACGCGAAAGCCTAAAACTGCCGCCTCCAATGCTGGTTGTTGGTGTGCCGCTGTTGCTATTATGTTTACTGCTGCTGCCGCTATTATTGTTGTTATTGTTGTGGCTGTTAATGTTATTTTTGCTCATTGTCGAAGCAGCGGCTGCAGCAGCCGCCGCCGCCGCTGCTGCTGCTGCCGCTGCGGCAGCGGCAACTACGCTTGTCTTTCGCAGCAACTTCGTGTTGTACTCGTCGCACTTGTCCTTCTCGATGCGTGTGGAGCTGAGAGAACGCTTGTTCCGCTTGCTGCTGACCAGGTTATTAAAATGATGCTCGTTGATGATGGCACGCTGTTCGTCGCTAGCGGCACGTCCGTTGCCGCCATAGATGCCCATACTAAGCCGGCTTGTGTCTGGAGGAGGTGTAGAAGAATGCGAATTACTCAAATTGCAATTGTGATTGTTGTTCAAGTTGGGTATCTTTGACTTGGCAGCGCTAGACGCCTCAGTTGTAGTTGATGTTGTCTTTGTTGTTGTTGTGGTTGCAGCTGGCAGCGGATTGGAGTTAAGATCAAGCGCACCGGATGAGGTTCGTGTAGCTATATTGTAGCAAACGGCACCGGCACCGGCAACTGCGCCCGAAGCACCACTACCGCAAGCATTGGCCAACGATGAGGACGACGAAGAGGACACGGTGGGTACGGCAGAAACATCACGATAATAACGGGCCGTTGCCAGCGTGCAAGGCTGTGCCGGTTGCTCGCCAGCCCCAACTGCTGCCGCGGGACGTTGATAGCGAATGCGCGACCGACCTCTCAGCGTCATGTGATGCAGCGAGCTGCGTGTTACGCTGCCTCGCACCGGGGGTATGGTCGCCGAGCTGCCAGCACCACCACCGCCAACACCGATGGGTATTTTACTCTCATTGATCGTTGCGTAGGGCTTCAATTGCTTATCGAGCACAGCGGCTATGGCGGTAGCGGGCTGTTGTACTTGTTGCTGTTGTTGCTCAGCTTTGCGCAGATGCTTCAATTCCATTCTGTCAACGGAGGGAGGGGGAGCGAAAATGGTGAGCCCACAGCCAAGCACAAGAGACAAGAGAGAAAGATGTAAGAGTTGGAGTAGAGGGCACAGGGTAAGCTTAACAATTGCACAGGAACCAAAAACGATAAAAAAAAAAAACAAGAGCAAGAGCAACAACATAAACATAATGGCCAAAAGGTATGTAAATAAACAAAAGAAAAGTATCGCAAGCACCCAAAAATTTTGAAATCGTTTTTTTTTTTATTTTTGTAATTTTGCATGCACAAACAAATTGTAAGACTAATTAATTGAAAAAATGTAAGTACATACTCAATAAACAATAAAAACAAAATAATTAGCTGCTAAAATTAGTGTTGTTAACGAATTTAAACGTTATTTTTTTGCCGGCGCCTACAAATCAACAGTTATCGATATCGATAGATATAGATATCGATAGCCGAGATGCTCTAACGCCAGTGTTAAAAGTGTGCAAATACGGTTAGCGAGGGGGGGGGGGGGTGGGAAAATTATAAATATGCTAAAACTATGTATACATATATAAATATATTGTGTACTTATAATATATACAAACTGGCAAAAGGTATAAAGCGAACGAAGGACATCAAAAAAGGTGTACAAAATACTAATACACTAAACGAGAATACAAAATGCCGCAGCACAGTTCGAACTTGAAATCAAATCGTGTTCAATAAAAAAATATGTGTGTGTAGCGCTGTATTGGAGGGGGGGGTAGGGCATTCTATTGGATTGGTGGCTGTATTGGACTGCACTTACCTCTTGCTGTAGATGGCCAGACTGCGTGTGCGACTGGCCGCATTGGTCTGCACATTGTTGTTGTTGTGGTTGTTATTAGTGCTATTGTTGTTACAGTTATGCAAAGAGTTTAGATTATTGTAGTTATTGTTGTTAAGATTATGTGATGTTGTTGTTGTTGGTGTCGTCGTTGTTGTTGTTGTTGCTGATGCATTGGCTGGCAAACAATTGCCGGCTTTAAGGCCCATTGACGCCGCGGACACATTAACCACATTGTTGTTGTTGCGAAATGGCTGGGAGCGGGCACGCGTATGTCGCTGATTCTGATCAGACTCGCTGCAGAAGCAAAAATTACAGGATATTTGTGTTGAGTACAGCTATTATACAAGTCATATATATTGAAAGCCCACCTGTTGCTGTTCACAATACGCGAATTATGCCGACGCAGCGCCTTTATCTGATTGAGTTTGTCGCCCTGCGTTTGGGTCTGCTTCTTCTCCAGCGCCGTTTGCGTCATGCGCACCGAGGAGGCAATCGTGTGACGCGCCGCCTCAATCACATTGGAGCTGGGCTTGCGCAGTTTCTTTTCGGTGCAGCTGCTGCCGGGTGGATCGAGGCTGTTGGACATGGCGCTGGTGTTGCTATTGCTGCGATTGTTACCGCCGCCGGGATTCACTAGACGACGCAGCGAGTTCGCTATGACCGTTGGCTTGTTGGCATTCGAAGGCGACTTGCGACGACGCGTTGAGATTGTGTAGGTGGAAGCGAGCGGGTGATCGGCAGCGGCACTGGCCGTGTCCGTATCATTATCGCTGCCATTGCAATTGGCCTCGTCCGTCGAGTGATAATGCAACTCCTGCAGTTCTAGCTGCTGCTCGGAAAGCTCCTCATCGGTTTGCTCACAGGCCGCATCCAATGTATCCTGATCATTCAAATGCATTGTGTCGACACGCTGTGAGATACCCTTTACGCGAGTCAGCAACAAATCAACATGGTCAAAGGGATCAGACGTTGCCAACGGCAGCGGCTTTTCTTCGAACATCTCACTCTTGGAGAACTTGTTCTTAAGCTCAATACTGTAGATGCCATACTTGTGCTGCAGCATCGACAAGGAGTTGCGCCGGCGCATGCGTTCGCCCTCGGACCATAGCCAGCTCTGTTTGCTGCAAAGGTTGTAAAATAATTGCAGTTATTAAAAGCTTTTCGGGATTATATTTGAGTCAACGGCACTTACTCCTCCATCCACTGCTGCTGATGGCCAATCACCGAGCCGGGTCGACACAAGCGCAGCCATGCGATGGCCTCTAGAGCACTGAAGCCATAATGCTTCATAATATAGGCACCGATGAGGCTGCCAGTGCGTCCCAAGCCCGCCTTACAATGCACCGCAATGGCGCCCTTTGTGGTCTCACATATGGACAAAAATTTCTTTAGAATAGCATCGCTGGGCGTGCTGCCATCGATAAAGAATAGATCCTTGTGATCGAAACCGGCATTTTCAAAGGATGAGGCATGATAGACCTTCGCATTTAAGCGGATCACAGTCGTCACATTGTTGTCCCTGAAGTAGCTAAAGTAACGCTCAGGCGCATGACATGGATAGCCGTTTGGCAATGTCTTCGACTTCTGATGCGGGCCACAGAATGCTATAAACTTTTGCGGTACTATCCAATTAAAATCTCCGTTCTCAACACGCTCAAAGTACTCGTACTCCTCCGCATCAAAGTCATTGAAGTTAAGGAAGCCCGCCTGCAGGCCCTTGTGTATGGCATTGAGGCAGTCGAGCAGCGAGATCTTAAAGCTGCTGGGCCCATAGCTGGCATCACAGAAGCGCGTGTATGCAGGTACATCTCCAGTTGCGAGCAGTCTGTAGGCCTCCTCTGGAGTTTTATTCAGATAAATTATCTGAAATAAAGTAAATGTAAGATGTTAATACGCAAGTTTTTTTCAGTATAATAATATTGAACAAATTTTCTCATACAGGATACATAATATATATAATGTTAGTGCCTTGTTTATAGATGGATTGCGCCAGATTCTATTTGAACCTGTCTTGTCTTACTCATACTTTTCATTTAGACTATATAACGCTCTTTCCAGCTGTTTTTATCGTAGATATTCACTCCTAAAGTCTCTTTATACACCTATCACTTCGCTTGACTAGTTCTTAACCCAATTTTCAAATTTAAAGTAAGCTTACTATATTTCCTCATTCATTATGCCCACCCAAAGGCTATCAACTATTACACACACATACAACCCAAACCGTGTGGTATGGCCAAGAACAAGGTTTTAATTTCCGTCTTAACGAGGCGATGCGAGTAAGATATCCAGCCAAGAAAGGTTACACTTACTGCATACGAACCAATCAGGTAGGCCGCATTGAGACGCTTCGCCGGATTCATGGAGGTGTAGTGCACGATTTTTTTGTTCGCGTGACTCTTGGCACTCAATTTGGTGTTGAGCTTCATGCAATAGCGATACAGTATGCATATATTTAGCGGCCCGAAGTCGTTATAAAAGTTCTCATAGACATACTCATCGTCTATGCTAAAGTAATGGGTATTTGCCGTATTCTTTGGCTTGATGTTCTTTTTGAATACCACAAAGAATAGACGATCTGCAATGATATAGAGTTCAAGTTAAAAGTTCACGGAAATGCAATTCAAAATTTGCACTCACCTTCTTGCATCTCTGTGGCGCAGACCAACAGATCCGAATTGTCGTCCTCCAACATCTTGAGTGTGTTTTAGCGACTGCAAAGACAATGAAAAGAAGAAAGAAAAGAGTTCTTAAAATGCAATGTTATCTTTGGCATCCTCAGTTATCTTTGACAAACAACATATGAGATTAGTAAGAGCACCATTTTTGGACCCAGCTCGCAGCTCAGGTCTGCCCACGCGTAGTTCTCTCTACAATGCTTCCGCTTGATTCCATAATAAATAATTTTATTTTATTTATTTTTTTTTTTACTTCAGTCTTTTCATCTTTAGCCAATGAAATCGCCCACCCAACTGACTTTGCCTTAATTGGATAAAGTAAATGCTGCTTTCCGCAAAAGGTTTCTCGCATATAAATATAGTGCATACATAGTACATATGATAGATAGTCGTAAACTGTATTGGAAAATAATAAACATGTTTTGTTCGATTTATATATATGTGAATTGCCCTCCTTGGCTGCCAAGAGGAGCACAATGTCTGCGACCATGCCGCATTTTTATTATTTGCCCCAGTTTTCCGTATAGGCGTGTTTGTGTGTGGATTATGCCTTTATTGATATGCATAAAAGGCACGTCAGACAGTCGTGTCCTGACATCCGCATCCTAATAAAAGCTACTAAAATAGCAGTGCGACGACTACTAAATACGCTGCTATCTAAAGCCTACTTAATGACTGTTTCGATATTCAAGTTTGGTTTACTTTTAAATACTTGTAAACATTTTAATTATATTTTAATAATAGACTACAACAGTATCTGCAGAACTTTTTCGACTTATTGATGCTAGCTATAAGAACATATTCAAAAATATTCACTGAAATGCTAATTACAATATGAATGAAGGACACGAAGCATACGGGTTTGGTCCTCAAATATGCATACTAGGATATATGTA